TAATGAGCACAGATCCTGTGCAGCTTCTCAGATGGTTACAATCACATGTTGTTTGAGGGGTCAGCCTAGTGCACGGAGGTCTTTGATGTTGGTTTTCTTTTTGCCTGTTTGAAGATTGCCTAACCTCAGAGATCCTCTGTACATATAGTATTGGATAGCACGCTTTTCTCTGAACGTGGGTTGAACACACTCCTGGCCATTCAACTCTTCCTGGGCGGGGAAGCGTGCATCGTACCACTGTAGACTGGCAATCCCATCATGCCCCTATCTGGCTGAGTACAGAGTGGCTGCACTTTCACTTTGTGTCACAGTTGATTGATGGATCCATTCAGTTTAAAATAAGTCTGAGTCGTACGCTGTTTTTCTTTCCATGCTTGATTTGTTGTGTCCGCCTGTAAGGCAAGGCAAGGCAAGTTTATTTGTATAGCATATTTCAACAACAAGGTAATTCAAAGTGCTTTACATAAAACACAAAAGCAACAGGGAAATATAAAAAAAAAAAGGCTTTGCTTATTTTACTCCTTTGATTCCCCATCTCCCACTCTATCCTTTTTTTTAAACTTAGGGACTCTAACCCTTATTCCTTAGATACAGTCCTCACTGTAAATCCAGATTGTCCACAGTACAAACTCTGGTAAAAGTGGTTGACAGTGGGCTGTGTCAACAAGTTAACAGCTGAGAAAACATGGAATCCAATCCTTGTAATTTTACTCGGCCCTGTTAACTGAAGATCTGCTGTGTGAGATGGTACAATCAAAAGAGCACTCTAAGCTTTTTATAAGAAAAAGAAAACGGGACAGTAAAAGTTACAGTGCAGTGTAAGTTATCAGTCTACTTGTTAAATGCAGTGGTAAAAAGAAAAGTCTTCATTCAGTCTTGCTTTAAAAGAACTGAGAGTAGCAGGTTCAGTCTGTTTAGGCTGTGCACGTTTCTCACCAGAATGATCTGCATGTGGGTGAAAACATTTCAGATGTGTTCATTTCTAACGCCATGCACCACTTACCATAAGTTCAGTCAGTGCAAATCCTTTGCCCACAATGAAGATGACAAGACATGCTTTTTTATTTTTTTCTATTATGCAATGCCCAGTTTCCCGTCAACAAATTAGTCTCAGGATCACCTGTGCTGTCTTGAGAAACAGTTCTGTTTATAAGAAAACGGAGATGTATAAGCGCATCAGGGGGGCTATTACTGGCGCTCATAAAATACATACCCAAGGTCACTTATTGTTCAAAACATCCTGTGTTAATTATCCTGTACAGATTAAGAGCAACAGGGAATTCCACAGTAGACTTTGAATTGTTTTCCCAGTGCATTTAGAGACTAAAACCGTTCTGCCATCAGCGGCTACTCTAAAATAATTTCCCCTTTTCCATTTTCAGGCGCTCCCTCTTCCTGCTCAAACTTGGCTCCTTCCAGTTTGCTCTCCTGAAGATTGTCTTTACCATCCTCTCCATTGTCCTCTATACCAACGGGAACTATGTCCTGGGTGATGTGAGTTGGAACTTCTGGACGGCATGCCATTAATACCCAGTTCTTCTTTCTCTCTTTATGTAATCTATTATCACAAAGTCCTAAATTGATGATTGATCCATTAAGTGTTTACTAATCACATAAACATGAATTTATGATACATCTTGGATTAATTCATGGATTATATATAATATGACTCATTAGTTATGCATGACTTATTATTATGCATTACCCATTTTGCCAAAGAAATTATAGTTTGACAAAATAATTGAAAAGTACTTATAGTGTAAAGACAATAATAGAGGAAGAAAGTAAAACATAGGCTACTTCATCCATTTTATAGATACTTTATAGCTTTATAGACCAATGACATAATAGTGTTGTTGAGAAAAATGAGGAGGGATGAAAGTGACAATTTTTATATCGTGTATTTTCAGCAGTGTCTCATGAATCCCTGTTGTTCTTTTCACTCTCTCTCACTTTTTCTGGTTGCCTTTGCTATCTTCATGGTGTGTGTGTGTGTGTGTCCGTGTGTGTGTGTGTCCATGTTTTAGATGAGCATTAGCGGAGCTGTTATGTGGATCAACCCATTTGTGGGCATCTTGACAATCATAGCCCTGTGGCCTGTTGCAATCCTGTTCGTGCACCTGAGGACTGCCCTACAGACACTCAAGATCATCCCCAAGTACGCCATGTACCAGGTAAGGCACAAGAGACGCTTTAGCACACATGTGCTGGACACTTCAATGCACACAAACAGCTGTGTACACACCTAATGACGGGCAGTAACTAGCACAGCTCATCTATATATAGCTGGCACAGTAGACACGGGAGTTTCCAGTATTGTGTTTGTCAGGTTAAACAGTGTATATGTATGTGTTGTTTTTTGTAGCTGGTACTGATACTGAGTCAGCTGCAAACAGCTATCATCAACATACTGGCTGTTACGGGAACCATCGCCTGCACTCCGCCCTTCTCTGCCCCAGCCAGAGGATACAGTGAGTCAATCCATCCCTCTATTCATTCACCAGGAATGACTCCTTTGATTTAATCTTAACTTTTTCGTACCCTTCCCCCTCCGTCTCCACAGTGATGAGTCAGCAGCTTTTAATTCTGGAGATGTTCATCATCACGCTGGTTACACGTCTGCTGTATCGTCGCCAGTATGACCCTTTACCTGAAGAAGACATCAATGACAACGAAAATACCAAGATGGTTCCAGTGCACGGGTCTGCGTGAGAACTTATCTTGTAGGTGTTCATTACGGGTCACAGATTAGCAAACTCTCCAAAACTGTTTGTGACTGATAGGGCCGCCAACCACACACCTTATCCGAAAGGGATCCAGCACTAATAAAATAAGAGTCCTGGAACAAACTATGTGATTTGGTAATAAGTATAGGGAAAACAGAAAAAAGGGTTGTTGATACTTGAGTTTATTGTTCAGTTTATTTCCAGAGGAATTTCCTTCAACTGCTCAGTTTAAACCCAAGTAAACATTGTTAGGGTTATAGGGTTATTGGTGTGATTAATTTATTGTAGACTAATTTTACACTTACACATCTTCCGCCTATAGCTAGCTGCTGTGCACTGACTAAAAGGCTCTCCAAGTATTAAGTACCAAATGACGTACCAAATTATTTCCCTACGAATTTACACTCATACATATGAGGTCCATTCTAAGAAATTACATAATGGGATCCCAAATGTAATGTGGAACCACTTATTTTTTTACACTGTGTTTTTATGAGACATTATCGCATACATGATGATAAACTGTGTTCCTGTGTTTCTTGTCTTTCGTTTGCATTATGTGTCATAATTATCTGGTCTGGGTCCAGACCTTTGAATCCGCCCACAAATGGAAGCAAATAATTACCATCTACAATGGAAGTATTTTAAAGATGTTCAGATGAAATTTCTAACTCTGTATGATGACTCTCTGCTGTGTCATTTTTACAGTATGTTCAGTTTATCCTATTCAGTTGCCCTGTCACACAGTAGAGTTGAATGTTGTACCGCTAGGTGGCAGTAGAAACCAAGATCTGGTAGATTAACAGCTTCTGTGTGGTATTGGCCTTATTATTATCACCTATGCTACCTTCTGTTATTAATGTATCGGGCAGCTGACATAACAGTAGTCTACCTGCAGTCAGTGTACAGTGTGCACATTAAGCTCCTAAATGTATTCAGTATAGGGTTCATGTTCAGAGCAGAACCTTCTTGTCCAATGAGGCCTTTTGTAGCGCATAAGTACACTAGATATTTTTAACATGTAGGCCCACATCTTCTTTTTTTTAAAGTCTATGATGTATACCAGACGTTTTAAGAGAGTATAACCAGTGACTGTGTATGAATGTGTGTATGTGACAGTAAGTGATGTTGATAAAGCATGTTGACTGACACCTCTCCATCCAATAGGGTTGTTGTTGTTTCTCACTTCCTAGTTTTAAGCCAATCACCACAGCGTGTATAAAAAAGCCTGCACCAAGTGCGGTTGTGTTGGGCCTTTCGAAAGTACGTGCTGCCGCACAGCATCACAGCGGTCCAAATAGGCCGGAAGTCTGGAGATTCAACCTTCAAAATAAAATGTTTTTCCACATATGTTTTGCGGCTGGACCTTTTATACAGTCTATGGGGCTCTACAGAAACTTTTAAGATGTCTGTAGTTTAAACTTACTGATTGGACACCAGTCAGTGTTTTAAGAGCAATCCTTCTACCCTTCATACTTAATATGGTCTTTTAAAATAGGCATCATTCCATGTTGCTTAGGCTAGCCTTTCATAATGGCTTTAACAATGTTGAATAATTTATTAACGCTTGATAGAACAGGATGTGAAAAGTCTCTGTGGAGACAAGTCCCTGTTTTTATTAAAAGGGTATGAGTTTCCTACTTTTAATAAGCCGTCAAGTCTGCAGTAGCACATGTGAGGAGGCAAAGTCATTTAGAAAACGAGTATGGCTGCATTTATAAACATGAACACATTAATATAAAGGTTTTTCACTTTAACAATTAGCAAAAAATATTAATTTGTCATTAACAAAGGGTTCTTATAATAACCTATAAAGTCAGGTCTACATCTGTCATATGTAAAATCCCTGAATGTAATGAAAAACAAGAAACCACAAAATGTTTATTTTTACTGTTCCTATTTACTTATGTAATGTTAAGACATCTTTTTTTTTAATATTAGCATGTTAATACGTTGTCAAATTGTATCACCTATGCCATGATTGTAAATTAAAGTTTGGAGAAAGAAATGCATGAAAAAAGGAAAAAAGACAGGATAGAGCAAGAGACAAGAAAAAACATTAAAAATTAGCTCTACATATAGATTATAATTGATTAATTAAGAAACAATGAAAAATTATTTGTTCACATTAATAAATTCTAAACCATTTATAAAGGATGTCTTATCAGCACCAAATGCGTTATTTACTGCTTTCAAGTAGTTACCACAATGCCTTGCAAAACAGCTACCTGCTACTTTATTTTGAAAAACGTAACCGGACGTCGGCGTTTGATACCGACGCCGTTGAGCCGCTCTGCCTCTCCAGCAATGTAGCTCCGGGAAGCCCTCCTGCCAGCGCATTGTTGATACCATATCATGTAACCTTATGGACATTTATTCATCTCTTCGCTTGGTGGCCGGAGGCCCGCGGGCTGGGACACATGTGGACTGTCCGTGTCGCTGTCAACGTTGTTATCACCTGGGATGAAATGGTCGCGTTTCTAGCACTGAATCTCATTTTCACGTCCAGGTCCAGGCTCCGTCATTAAACTTTCAAAATGAGGATCTTCATGTCTCTGCTGAAGAACGCCAACCCCAAAATCGAGTACTACTCCCGGTTTTCGCCGTCCCCGCTCTCCATCAAGCAGTTTTTGGATTTCGGTGAGTAACGTAAGCAAATGCCCGGACTGACATCTTCAAGGAGTGACTTGCTGATTAGGAAGAGAGCAAGAGGGCCTTTTGTCAGTTCATTCACTGTTTCTGCGGATTTAAAGTGTCGCAGGCGAGCTCTGGCTTGTTGTTATTAATAGCAGAAGTCTTCTCCAAGTTGCCATGAAACATTATACCTTGTTACGATCAGATGAATCATTTGAATCTAGATTTGGTGTTTACTTTTAATAACCCACTCATAACGGCATGTTACTCAAGTTGATCGCTCTGCTTGACAGCTTTCTGTTGCAGGTTTGTTGATTATGTGAAGATGTGACAGACTGCTAAACCCTTTAATGGTCTCCTTTATTTCCTTTGTGCACTTACAACAAAACAATCTTTAAAAAATCTGTCTTATCTAAAAATTTTATTTTTTACTTAACTGAATGCAGTTTTAATATAAGCCTCTACAAAATGCCTGAGAGAAATGTCCATGTACAGAGCACCACATCCACACCTTTTTGTCTTCATTAAAGTGAAATAATGAGCATGAAATGATCAAGTCAAACACAAATAACTTAATATAATCTGATCAAAGTCATCTGTGTTTTGGTGAAACAGCTCAACAGTTGTTTAGGTATTGTGTAGTGGTTGCTCCCTTGTTGGAAAACAGAAAGTAAACACTCCACATATCAGAGGGATTTATCGGCAGCTTCACTCAACTGAAGCACAACCAACCTTTTAACAATATTTCATAACTCAAAATGTGCTCAACCACAAGGCTGAGAAGAACATTAAGGGGTTAATACAGGCAGGTATATCTTCACTGGGACTGGGACAGCAGCATGTACGCAGTGGAGGGTGAACACCCAGCTCATGCTTTTGTCCCAGTTTTTAAATTGCTCAACAAACTTTACTCAGTGCTCACGTTTTAAGTTTGTTTCAATCAATAGGAGCAGATTTCAGAGCAGGAACTGTTGTAGTTGTAGTTGTTGAAGTTACATGAAGGGGCCTTTTGCGTGTGCGGGCTTGCGCACTGGATTTTGCAGTCAATAACTCTGCTGCCGGACTCACTGGCATGAGACTTGAAAAACGCAAGATGACAGTGTTGGTGGCCGCACGCAGGGCTTTTCTTTAATCCCACGCTGATTACACACAGTCATCTCGGTTACATAATTGTGGATTGGTTAGTACAGGAAGCGTGCGGCGCCTGTTTGAGTTAAGAAACACAGCCAGGGTCTTGTCAGCAGTAGTTGTTTGTGTCAGAAGAGCAGCTAATGGTATTGGTGTTCTTTCAAAGGTGCAGCACTGTTTGTGTGTCATTCCCAGGCTGAGTCAGCTTTTGGTGGTTTCACTACTCCATTTCAAAATTAATGACCCCCCCCCCCGTTCCCCTTATATTGCTGAATCAGTGGAAGCATTGATGGGACATTTCCTTTCATTCTGCTGCAAACCCTTCTTTGAGTTGCTGAGCAGCATATTCCCCCCCAACAGATTTTGACTGTGTTTAGCGGTTTATATATAATAGGGTTCATATGCTTCCAAGTGGGTCCTCGCATGCACACACCGAGGCCTGGCTGTTTTGCACATTGTGTTAAATTACATTTTAGTCGAGTTAAGGGTGTAGAAATGCCAAGCTGATCTCCACTTAGTAATTTTTGAGAAAGACATTGAACATTTCGCCGCAGGAATTTGTTTTTTCCTGTTTAGATCTAAAACATAAATCCCCCCTAACCTTTCCATGACTCCTGCTGGCTAACAAGATTTATGATTTCCTTATAGGGTTCAAGCTAATACTGGCAGACAGTAAGCACAGTTCCAGCCAGGTAGCAAAGTTTAAGGTATCATATTAAAGGTTGAACATTGGAACTGACTGCAGCTCCTGACCAGCAGCCTGTTGCACCAGCTCTGTGTAAGTTCAAACGTAGCTTAGTTATATCGTAAATTAGTTGTGATTTGTGGATTATAAAAAAAGCGGTTGCCCCAGGGAGATGAGGTGCAGCATAACTCTAAGTAACAACTAAATAATCACACATGCCCTGGGTAGGGGCTGATTTAGTTGCAAACTAACTAGTTAAGCCTCTTGTGTTGACATTACACCTTGATTTAGGAGAGAACTTACACACAGCTGGCTGTGGCTGATCTACCACGTACAGAATATTTTTTCTTTATTTAACCAAACTTTGTCACTGGGTGAACCTTTGTCAGGAATGTTTTAAGCTTGATAACACTTCCATGTTGGCTTTATTGCATCAGTTTTGGAAGGGTTTGTCATGCCTAAGAGATCCGGCGGGTTTTTTTTCTCCCTGAAAGTGTTGCCTTGTGATACGTAAGTTTTCACATGACAACAACAATACAATCCTGAGTAAATCCTGAATCTCTTGGCAGAAAAAGTTGCAATGAGTGAAAACTATAGTGGTTTGACAAATACTTCATCATTTTCCCTTTCAGGCAGGGACAATGCTTGTGAGAAAACATCCTATATGTTCCTGCGTAAGGAGCTGCCGGTGCGCCTGGCCAACACCATGAGGGAGGTCAATCTCCTACCTGATAACCTGCTCAGCCAACCCTCCGTCAGACTGGTGCAGAAATGGTGAGACATTTCTTGAGAAAGACGCTTTAATATGGCGGCTTGGCGATAAGGATTACAATAGTCGTATTATTAAGAAGCGTGTGTGAAATCTGCCTTTTGACCTCTGTGTGCTTTATAAGGTATATGCAGAGCTTTGTGGAGCTGCTTGATTATGAGAACAGAAAGCCAGAGGACCGTCACGTACTCAATGAGTGAGTAAATGTTGCCTTAATTAATGATTCATAAATGCAAGTACAGTATATGCAAAGTAATAGCTTTGCCAGGCACCCTGACAGCTGCTGTATACAGGCTTTCTGCCTCTCTTCCACTGCACACATACATCACTGCTGACCTTACAGGTGACTGTGTGTATTTATACTATAACAACGCCTGCATGATAAATGGCCACACATGACTGATAAACACAAACACGAATTTGGATAAAGCTGTGTGTTCAGAGAATGCAAGAACTGTTCAGCTCAGTGGAAGTGAAATAACGTTGATACTTTTACTCTTTTACTCTTACTTTTTTAACCTTCAAAAAAGCGGTTTAAATAATTTTTGATGTGTGTCCATGAGATTTTCTAAGCAACAACCTCACTGACGATCTGAAAAAATGATTTGTTTTCTTCCGTGCTCCCATTTTTAGTTTCCTGGAGCTCTTGATTGAGATCCGTAACCGTCACAACGACGTGGTTCCCACCATGGCCCAGGGAGTCATAGAGTACAAGGAGAAGTTTGGCTTTGACCCCTTTATCAGCAGCAACATCCAGTATTTCCTCGACCGCTTCTACACCAACCGCATCTCTTTCCGGATGCTTATCAACCAGCACAGTGAGTCTCCAAAGCCGAATTCTGTTTTATTTGGATCACGAGTAAACCATCTGTCCTGTCTGTGCAGCTAACTTTCACTTCTGTTTCTTATTGTACAGCTCTCCTGTTTGGTAACGACATCAACCCGGCCCATCCAAAACACATAGGCAGTATTGATCCCACCTGCAGTGTGGCTGAAGTCGTCAGTGGTGAGTTAAAGAAGGTCATATATGAATATCATCAGTTAATACGGTCGTTACAGTTTACATCCATATAACTGTTTATAGAGCGCTATAAAAGAGGTGTTTGCTTCTGATCCCCAAACTTGAGACCTCTATTACTATCTTTCCAATCCAGTGACACTCTCACACCCTTTGTCCTTGCAACTTGTTTATTGTAGAATGAAATCGTGTGTGTGTGTGTGTGTGTGTGTGTGTGTGTGTGTGTGTGTGTGTGTGTGTGTGTGTGTGTGTGTGTGTGTGTGTGTGTGTGTGTGTGTGTGTGTGTGTGTGTGTGTGTGTGTGTGTGTGTGTGTGTGTGTGTGTGTGTGTGTGTGTGTGTGTGTGTGTGTGTGTGTGTGTGTGTGTGTGTGGTAACTGTAAAGACAATAAACAAATTATGAAAACATATGAAATTTTAATTTTAACATCTAACATAGTAATGAATAAAAGCAATATAATATGAGATAAACAAGTACCAATAATGACATATGAGGATGAAATGAACAAAGATGTATAACTTCTGAGGAGAAAGCATAACCTAAATAAGGGAGCTTCAATGTTTTACACACTTGGACTGAAAAGGCTCTGTTGCATAGGCTTACTAATGACACACAGACTAGGTAATTTTATGATGATCCCTTACTGACCTGTCAGCGCTCACAGTACTAATTAACAGGAGGGAAACGTCCGAGGCACTTAATTGCTGAAATGTCATTGGTCCAGGGTGACATGAGGGCCGCATGCACAGCGCCACAGCCTGCGCATGCATGTTAGGTGGTGTAGTCTATGGGCCGAGTGGGTGACCTTCTGAACAAGCCCTGTACTGTATTATCTATATGTGGGAATATTTTGTTATTTATGGGATTTTTTTTTTTGTACTATGTTGCAAATATTTGCATAATTCTTACAGTGAACAGAGTTAAAACACACCAGCAACTCTCAGCAGTGACACAAATCAAACAGAACCCCAAGTTCATCTGCGCTAAACGGCCTGTTTACAAAATGATAGTTCTTAAAGAATTCCGGCAGCGTGGATCCAAAGCTGCACTCTTGGTGACCCAGCGAGGAATCCGGATACAAACAATGCGCATGTTTTGCTTCTTCTGCCCTGACTCGCGTTGTTTTCCCCCTCCTATCAGATGCCTATGACACGGCCAAAATGCTGTGTGAGAAGTACTACTTGGCTGCTCCTGAGCTCAAGATTGAAGAGTTCAACAGTAAGACATTGTTTTGCTTTTGCACAATAATCCTTCCATGCATGCATTTCTCCCTCTGATCTGTCACACAGCTGTAGTGAAACAGTGTAGTCTGCTAACAAGTGTATTTAGAGCTTGTGGGTGCAGATTTGGAGCCCACATTTAGTCCTTTAAGGATTACAATGTTCAGTATGTCATTAACTTCAAAAGAACCAGCTTTGTGTTTGTTTGTCTTCTCACACTCCTTTATTTCTTGTCTTCCAGTGAAGGCCCCTAAAAAGCCCATCCAGGCGGTGTATGTGCCCTCTCATCTGTTCCACATGCTGTTTGAGCTCTTCAAAGTGAGCTGCAAGAACCTAATTACTTTGGCGATCTTTAAATGTAATTAAAGTGTAATGTGGCTATAATTCTGTAAGCCTTGCGCTGAGCTGAAATAATGAACTCTGTGGGTGTTTGTAGAACTCAATGAGAGCCACAGTGGAGCTACATGAGAACAGTACAGAGGAATTACCACCAGTAAAGGCTAAGGTCACTCTAGGTAAAGAGGATCTATCCATAAAGGTAAATAAAACACACACACACACCAGATCATTAGATAAATATTTGTGTTTTTTCTCTGTCTGTGTGACTGACTCTTTCGCTCCATCTCCCCCAACGATCTGTCCTCAGATCAGTGACAGAGGAGGAGGAGTCCCTTTGAGGAAGATAGACCGTCTGTTTAACTACATGTACTCCACTGCACCTACACCAAGCCTAGAGCCAGGAGCTGTCCCACTGGTACACACACACACACACACACACAAAATCAAATCAGTATTGACTTTGGTGACCATTTCAAACTTTTTTTTGGCCCATATAGTTGTTATATACGGCATGACACCTGGGAAATTAAATTCTGACCCTCTCCCTCCCCCATACAGGCTGGTTTTGGCTATGGTTTGCCGATTTCTAGGCTCTATGCCCGATACTTCCAGGGGGATCTGAAACTCTACTCCATGGAGGGCGTGGGCACCGATGCAGTCATCTATCTGAAGGTAAAGTGAGCTCGCCAAATGTGGAGCATGTTTTAATGGTTCTCCTGTCTCCTGAAGACATGATACTCAGCTAAGTTGAGTTTAAAAAGAGTAGTTACATTTTGGGGGATACACATTCACCTTTTGCAAGAGTTAGATGAGAAGATTGATACATACCAATCTCAAATTTGAAATAATATGCTATAGCCAGAAGACGCTTAGCTCAGCATAAAGGCTGGAAGTAGGGGGTAGCAACTAGCCAACCGTCTTCCAAAATATATTCATGAATATAATGTAGGTCTGGGCAATAAAACAATAATGACAATTATTGCAATATAATTTTCCTCATTAACAATATAACAAATGTTTGATTTAATTAATTTGAATCACAAACTAATTAGCACTTAATTCTTCTATTAACATATTTCATTTCTTGAGGAAAAGGGACCGAAAAAAAAATTTACTAATCATAATCGTTTTGATTGCCGTTTGATTGAAAGATTTTATCAGAATGGTTTGGAATGTTCTGCCTCAGTTTTGTGAAGCGATCCACTGTTTGGCATGTTCTGACCAAGAAGGAAAAAAATTTGGCTTCTTCAATTTTCACTCAGGAGCAAAAATCATCCTTTAAACTTGAAAGAAATAATGATTTGACATTTATTGTGATAATTATCAATATCGAATGGTATGAAATGTTTTTATCTTGATAACAGTTTGGCCATATCGCCCAGCCCTAGTGTAATGTCATGAATATTCATGTGGATGTCTAGGGAATCTAAGTTACTACTTAATGTTAGTTACTTCAGACTCTTAAACCTCTGTTCAGATTGTCTGTCTGGAGAAATATCACATAATGAAAACAACTCAATGCTGCTGCATTGAAAGACATCAGCATAATTTTCTAAAATCAGTTACTACATCCACACAACCACTTAACATAAAGACTGCAAACAAGGGGGAAGCAGCTAGCCTGGCTCTGTCAAAATGTCTACTAAAAAGATCAAATGTTATCTTTAGCGCCATCTAAGTTTTGGCAAGAAAACAAATTGTCAAATTTCACAAACATCAAACTATTCCTACAAACATGAATGTTAACGTGAGTTCTTGTTGGCTCATGTGTTTTGCTCCTCCATTTAAAGGCCCTGTCCAGTGAGTCCTTCGAGCGCCTGCCTGTCTTCAACAAGTCAGCGTGGCGGCATTACAAGACTACCCCAGAAGCAGACGACTGGAGCAACCCCAGCAAAGAGCCACGTGATGCCAGCAAGTCCAATTACAAAGCCAACAGATAACTCTGCTTGACCCGCTAGCACGGCCCTCTGCCGGGAGCTGAAATGCCCGCACAGCATGAAACATGAAATGTTACCCTCGGGTAAACGCTTGGTTTAGGATCAGACTTGCTTTTACATTCCAGTGGTTAAAGGTTTGGAGAAGATGAATGACCTTGACTTAAATCTGCACCCAGTGGCAATGACATTCATCAGCGTAGCTTTCATTGCCGTGGCTGTCCGAGTTTAAAATGAACCAAATTCTAGATCCCCACTGTCATTTAGTCAAAAGCTGACTTCATTTTCTCCTCCATCTGGCCATTACGTTCAGCTAAATGTCACTGCTCTCTGTGAACTCTGCCCCTGTCTCATGCAGTTTGAGGCTGGCTCGACTTTGCTGACTAGGCCACCACTCCCTGTGGCTGAATAAGCTGTGCACTGCAGATTGAGTGTCTTTCTCATCATCAGTGAAGGCTTGTATTCCGTTTCTCTCTCTTTCTCAAACACAAGCGGGAGTCGGTGATGGAGGGGAGAGTTGAGTTTCAGTGTAAATGGGATGAGATAGAGATTTCCTTCCTTTGGGAGACACTTTTAACTGAACGCACAATTAGGCCAGTGTGCCATTGGCATAGTAAAGACTTTTTTTTGTTGCACTCTATTTAAGCCTGGGAAAATGAAAGAGAGGATTGCCTGTAGATGAAAGAAAATGATAACTCCATTGTAAAAATTGTAGGAGTACATCCTATTTTTAAGAGAAGTCAGGATTTTTATTTTATGTCCCTTACCCTTATCAGACATGTCTGCTTGCAAGCCAGCTCTGCCCCGTCATTTAACAACTACTAAAGGACCAAATGAGCGTCTGTATGATGCTTACGAAGTGCGACCATGCCGGCTTTGACTGTCAAGTAGCTTCAACCACACCAACGTCTTCAACAAGTCAGCGTGGCGGCATTACAAGACTACCCCAGAAGCAGACGACTGGAGCAACCCCAGCAAAGAGCCACGTGATGCCAGCAAGTCCAATTACAAAGCCAACAGATAACTCTGCTTGACCCGCTAGCACGGCCCTCTGCCGGGAGCTGAAATGCCCGCACAGCATGAAACATGAAATGTTACCCTCGGGTAAACGCTTGGTTTAGGATCAGACTTGCTTTTACATTCCAGTGGTTAAAGGTTTGGAGAAGATGAATGACCTTGACTTAAATCTGCACCCAGTGGCAATGACATTCATCAGCGTAGCTTTCATTGCCGTGGCTGTCCGAGTTTAAAATGAACCAAATTCTAGATCCCCACTGTCATTTAGTCAAAAGCTGACTTCATTTTCTCCTCCATCTGGCCATTACGTTCAGCTAAATGTCACTGCTCTCTGTGAACTCTGCCCCTGTCTCATGCAGTTTGAGGCTGGCTCGACTTTGCTGACTAGGCCACCACTCCCTGTGGCTGAATAAGCTGTGCACTGCAGATTGAGTGTCTTTCTCATCATCAGTGAAGGCTTGTATTCCGTTTCTCTCTCTTTCTCAAACACAAGCGGAGTCGGTGATGGAGGGGAGAGTTGAGTTTCAGTGTAAATGGGATGAGATAGAGATTTCCTTCCTTTGGGAGACACTTTTAACTGAACGCACAATTAGGCCAGTGTGCCATTGGCATAGTAAAGACTTTTTTTTTGTTGCACTCTATTTAAGCCTGGGAAAATGAAAGAGAGGATTGCCTGTAGATGAAAGAAAATGATAACTCCATTGTAAAAATTGTAGGAGTACATCCTATTTTTAAGAGAAGTCAGGATTTTTATTTTATGTCAAAGAGAGAAAGCCTTACTTATTTATAGCGTATTTTATGTTTGAAAAAAAAAATCTGCCTTGAAGGCTCTACTGGAACTCAAAGTTCAGTTATAATGGAAGAATGAAGACGTTTTTGCTGAGTATCCTGTTTATATTTTACTACTTCAGTCATAAAAGTTAGCTAAACACCCATCCACAGACCGCTGACCGGCATCACTGACCCTTATCAGACATGTCTGCTTGCAAGCCAGCTCTGCCCCGTCATTTAACAACTACTAAAGGACCAAATGAGCGTCTGTATGATGCTTACGAAGTGCGACCATGCCGGCTTTGACTGTCAAGTAGCTTCAACCACACCAACGTGATGTAATGAGAGGAAATGGACGTGCTGCACCTAACGAGGACATCATTAAACCCGCTTTCTACCCATCGTCTTGCCACAGTGGATGTACAACATGCTCACAGCTCGGACTTCTTAACCTAACAATGCTTCAACCAGTCAGCCTTGTCTCATTTGTGGTGTTACTAATCCTCAGTCTTCTGAATGGGTTTGAACAAAGCTTGTGTATTTTGAGAACGTGCTTTGGTTTTTATTATCACGAGTGAAAAATGACACGAATTGAAGACACAGTTTAAATGCAGAATATAATTGATACCTGACAGGTTTGTAATTTATTTTATCCAGGAACAGAGTCTAAGAACTGCTTTTTCAGGCTTGTTTGCTTTTACTTTGGAACATGATTACTTCTGATGATCATTTAATGATACTTTTTCTTTGATTATTTTAAGTGTGTGGACAGTTCACTTCATTTTCTTTATTTAAACAATATGAAATCAAGCAGTGTTTGGAAAATCCTACAGGGAAAATGTGTTTAAAGGAGCCACTTATTTTGACACACATGGGACTTTGTTAGAGCACTTTACTAACTCTACACATTTATTTTCCTTTGAAATAACTACCATATAATCATTTCAGACCTCTATGAAAAAATTCTTTATAAAAGGAAGATTAATTATGATCAGGTGAGATCCCAGGGCAGCACTTGCACTCTCAAAGCCTTCTTAATAGCAATGTCACTTTTTGGAACTACTGAAAAAGACCAAACTTTAATCAAACATGAACCAAACCTGGTGCCATTTGCTAGGGACTAGATGATTGGGTACTTCAATCATCTGAAATGACTTCCTTTTCTCATCTCCTTCAGCTCCATCTGATGTGAAAAGAAAGGAGTGTAGATGAAGAATTCAGAAAGGAAAGCTTCCTCGTCTCATTTCAGCCTCACTGTAAAATTTCATCACTGCCGTTGTCTTCGTAACCTGCCAGTCCTGCTGAGTGATGCTCGGTGACACACCTGCTGCAAAGGAAGTGCTGTGTTGTATACATGCGACAACAGTCCTCTTGGTTTGAAAGACCTCAGTTAACTCTTAAGGTGTGGTTTCCCTGCAAATCAGTCTTAGTCACATTTGACAAAACTCACACCTTTGTCAAAGTTCCAGTTGTGTGATTTAGAGGCCAGAGGATCTTTAATCTTCAGTAGCTGTCAACCTTTACTGTTAAAGACCGTCTCTGTACCTGTGGTATTTTAGAAAAGATTTGTCTACATAACTATTAATAATGTGTTTGCTGTATTTATTTGCAGCCAGTGTGGAGTGATAGCTCTGTTTTCCATCCCACTGTACCTCCACCTTAAACAGGTGTGTTTGTATGCATGAACTCCTCACTGTGGAGGTGGTCACGTAAATATATGCAATTAATGCAACATCAACATGTACCAAAAAAAAAAAAGTGATAGAGCAGTCGAATAATGTGTCCAGCTCACACTTTCAACCCTGACAATAAAGAAGAATTGCTGTTGTGTGTGATTTACACATTATGTAATTTGATGAGCAGGTGGAATGCACTTTAATTCAAATTCAGTTATAGATTTTTGATTTATTTACATATCAAGCCGTTTGTTCATTAAAATTTCAAAAATAAAAAAAGACACATTCCCAAAGTTTGTACATATAGTGCAGATTAACATGTAGTGCGTACAGGACAGTAAGGTCTCTACATTGCATTAGTATTTATTGTATTAGTGGTGGACGAGGGGTCTGCTGCTGCGGCCTGGCATGATCGAGCAGACCTGAGCGAAAAAAAATAAAACTTGTTACATACATTTCCAATAACGGCAAAGAAAACATTAGGGTGATGCTCCGGCTTTTGAGGACCTGACAGTTCACCTGGAGGGCTTCAATTGGTGTATATTTCAAGTATCATCAGAATCCTAGAAAAGGGCTTGATCTCCGAGTTTGCCGGGTTTGATTAACAGCTGACATCATATTCTAAAGAGCAAAAATGTCTGCTGAACACTGATAGATAAAACGTGGAAAACTGTCCAAAAAACAAACAAAATACATGGCTTTTAATGCTGAAAATCCACAAATGTTTCTACCAATCGATTACCGTGAGATGTGATATTTGTGTGGCCTACTGAATGAGTGTGGTGATGAAGGGTTTGTGTGTTTGTATGGCTTGTGACTACAAATTAGTGATTACATTTTCTCTCTACTGTAGGAGTGGTCTCAAAGACGGTTTACATTCAAGAAGCTAATACATGAAAGCTGTTCTCTGTCTCACCACAATCAAGTTTATTTTAGGACTATCTAACAGTCATTTTACAGATTAGGCGAGACTCAGATCTTGTTGCCATTTTCATTGCAAAACTCTTATTCTCACGTGAACTTAAAAACTAGGATTATATTGTTTGACTTCAAACGTAGCTGTACAGCTGAGGTGATGAAAACGTTTGTTTTCCATATTCAGTTGTATTTCAGTGCAGCTTTTTTTGCACCAATCATCATCAAGTTTAGGAACATACAGGGTGATATCCCCAAGGTTATGATTTTCTGTGGCTCTGTGGATTAGTTTGAATGTGGTAAAGTGGTAATAACTGTACCGGGCAATGCTGAATGTTATATTCTTTGCCAATCCTTTATGCAAAAATGATGCACTGTAGCACTGAAGTAGCACTGACTGTGTTTCACCTCTGCTAATCTAGGGCGTGCAGTGTCTTTTCTTTGTTTCCTAATTCTCTGATGAATTAATTTGGTTCCTGTCGATTCACACAACCTGTTAAACTAAATGTCACACACAATGATCTGTAACTTTGTGCCTATTCGCATCTTGTGGTCACTAGTTACAAGAAATCTTGGCATCTTAAAAAATAAGCTAATCTTAACAGAGTAAGACAAAAAAATTACATGATATTATGAGCAGGCTGTTGGACAGTCTCTATCAGCCCTGGACAATCCAAAGCAAATCCTCTTGAAAGATGCTGCAAGGCATTCTGGACCTTCTTATTTGACACTGTGTACGTAAATCCTCACCCTCGTCTTCCTTTGTCTTTCTTCTGTCTGCTTTGTTGCCCAGACAACAGAGACCGTGATGGCTTCATTGCTCCGCAGCGCAGAACTTCATTTCCCATGATCCCCGTCTGCCTCGTATATTAGCAACTTCCTTGAGGAGAATTGTTTAAGTATCCAGCCGGTGTTTGTAGGAGTACGTGTGTGTGTGTGTGTGTGTGTGTGTGTGTGTGTGTGTGTGTGTGTGAGCAGTTCTCAGGCAGTGTACTGTGAGTGAAGTGTGTGTTTACATGTATGTGTTTAACAGTACAGCTACTTCTCATCTTCGTCACCTTCACTCAAGCTGCTTATAAAGGCAGATGCTCCTTTGGGGGAGGCTGGGGGAGAGGGCCGTGCGGTGTGCCAGCGGGCTGGGGGTGATGGGGGTGAGGGAGAACGCAGCGGGGACAGTTCGCGGGGAGGACTGTTGCAGGGCGACTCTCGGGGAGACAGGGCGTAGGACAGCATTCGTCCACTGCGCTCCTGAAACACCTGTTTCTGTACAGGGTCAGAGGGGAGAGAAAGAGTGAACGTTAGTGCACAAAGGTCCACAGTCTTCTTATTCAAAATATCAGACAATGACTGATATTTCTTTTTGGTATTTGTATGAACAAAGTGATGATATGCAACTTCCACAGTCCACAGATGATGATGGTATTGATGACAACAGTTTTTCCCCTTATCAAAGAGTTACTTACCCAAGTCCCATCGGGTCCAAAAAGTTCCAAGAAGTTGCCGATAAACTCTCTGGATTTCTCTTCCCACTTTTGTATGAGGTCGTGGCTCTTCTCCTCCACGCGGTACACAAAATGTTTGCTCTTCTCCTCAACCGTGCGAACCTTCTCCTTCATTCGGTCCACTTGGTTCTGTAGCCGATACTTCTTCTCCTGAGGGGATTAAATGTTTTTACAAGTCTCACAAATTGAACTGAAGATCCAGAACCTCAATCAGGAACTAATCATTGTAGCCTTATTCATTACCATCATAAGGGGAGTACAGCCAATTTTATGTAACCAGTTACAGTTAAAAGACACAATGTGCTGCATTTCATGATGAATCATGCCCAATTAAATGGATGATAACAAATATTCCGCATGTGATACATAAGGCACTCATCATTTCTTTATTTGAATCAGGGTAGAGAAACAAATGTTTGCCTTTGCCTAAGTGAACTAACATACCCTCTATTTTAGGGATATTTGTCAGGATGCTGTCAGCATTAAACCATTATGGAGACATGTAGAATTGATCATGCTCTTACATTGATGTAGCTAACGTTAAGCTCCTTGGCCGTGTAGCCGCGCTGGAGGTTGCGTCGGGCGTAGACATCATAGTCTCGGACAATCCTGGTAATTAAGTCAGATGTTGAGATTCCCTCTGTCCGTTGTGTAGGCACAAACATACCTGGTTTGCACACATAAAAACACACAGAATTTGAAAACTGCCCACTGTTTATTTTGAGAGGAAGAGCAGAAAGTTATTTTATATGCCTGGCGTCACTCACTGACCTGCCTCCTTGATGTGTTTATAAACGTCCTCGCTTCCTGCTGAGGAGTATGGGATATCATCATGAGCCACAAAATCGATCTGAGAAACAATCAAAGGACATGTACTGTATGGAAGAAAACACTGTACTAGCAGACGGACATAAGGTAAAAAAAATAAAAAAGACTCATATGAACATACATACTGAAATTAAATATCAAGTGTTTGAAGTGTCAAAAAGACCTTGATACATATTGACTAAGTGTCTTATCTTACCTCTAGGAGTCCTCAGTAAATTAAACATAAAAAGTTCTATCAAATTAAAAATAAGATTGAATTAAATTAAAATCAATTTAAAAATGTAATATTAAATTAAATTATTCAAATAATAAATTAACTAAATTAGATCTATATATATACCTAGGCAGTATCTAGATATATATTATACAGACAGCTGAGAGCTTTCAAGTTTATCAGCACTGCAAACTGCATTTTTTTCAGTGTCCAATTGAGTTGTAAGCTGATTTAATTATTAATCATGATAAGAATCAAATGAGGCACATTGTGTCCAGATCTTAGTGATTTAGTGATTTAAGAGTCTTCTGGACTCTAACTTCTCTCAGACTTTTAGTGCTAAAATGTCTTATGAAGTTCTCTGGGGAGTCCTAAAAGTTGGTTTCTCTTAACTCAGTTAGGATCTACCTTTGGCCCTAGTGGGTTTTGTAATAACAGCTCCTGGATGCTACATGCACAGTTTAATGTAAGCAACCACACACACACACACACACACACACACACACACCTTGTGTTTCTCTAGGAACTCCGGTGTGAGAGTCCAGGGTGCGTCTCGCAAAATCTCGTCAACATAGCGACAGTGTCTCAGCGCTTCGTAACGTTCAATCTCAGTCATGACTGTGAAACCCTTGTACTTATGGGTCAGCTCATCACTGCACACTGTTCCAAGCGCATGGAAAGGAAACCCCATAAAACACAAAAGCATATAAATCATTATCAGACAAATCTATATGGCTTTGTGTGTGTACCCGTGTGTGTGTGTGTGTGTGTGTGTGTGTGTGTGTGTGTTATCTCAGTGGCTTTGTCTTACCTCCTACTATGAGGTAGGTGTTGGGAAAGAGGTTCTTCGCCTGCATGAGAGCACGAGCGTGTCCTGAGTGGAACAGGTCAAAGATGCCATCTGCGTAGACTCTGACTGGACGGTCCACTGAAAACACACAACAGCACATTTATCAAAAATAACTGCGGTGTCATAGTGGGAGTAAGGGCTGCAGCGTAAATGCAGCATACTTGTATTTAGACTCCATATTACATATGCCTGGACAGAAATAACAAAATCTTCTTTAAGGACGTTTTTAATTAATGAAAAATAAATGTAGGCCTATTAGTAAAATAATACAAATGTAGCCTGGAGTTGTTAGCCTCAAGCCTCATATTCACTTTACTTGTAGTCTTCAGCTCCAACCAACACTGTATCAAGTGCTCAACTGAGACTCCAGAGGGAGCCACAAAAAGGCTTTCACATATGCAGTACTCCCCAAGACCAGTAAATGAAGAGTAAAATCCCTTTCATTATCAGCATGGCTAGATTAAACCGCTAGGCAGCCCCATTGTAAACATGAGCTGCTATGAACACCTAACACCCAGTTCCTCCCATTCTATTTGCAAAGTGTAGCCTACAGTTTCTCAATGATAGAATACTACCTGGCTCCAGGTGTGTTGTGTGTCCATTTTATTTAACACATTTGTTTAGTAACATGCAACATACAAGTACACAACTAAAACAGTGAAGGCTAAAATTTTGCTTTAGTGGTTAATATTACCAAAGTAATTTCAGTTAAATTAGCACAAAGTACATAGATAGCCTGGAGCCAGGACAGTTATAATCCAGATTTACTGATTAGTTACTGTAATATTATATAGTTAGCATCATTAATGACAGCAGGAGAACTAGGAGTGACTAGAAGTTTTACTATTGACCAACACATATCCATCCATATGTGGTATTATGTTGTTATACCTTCTTAAAAAGGTAATACTACTGTTTGGGTTTAGTGCAATATCATTATTAGTAGCACTGATGATAATACTGCCATGATAAAGAATGTAATGGGAAAAGCAGTGGCAAACACAGGAGGAGGAGCAGCAGTAGTAGAATTTGAATAATACTCGTAGCACCTGATAGTTAAAGTGAAACTTCTAGTTGCTGTAGCAGTGGTAGCATTAGTAATGAGAGTATCAGTATTGGTAGTATTTGTGATGAATGTGTTACTGTAGTAGTTGCAATAGTCATAGTAGTAGTAGAAGTAGTGGAAGCAGCTGTAACAGTAGCTGTAGTACTGTATAATAGCATAAAAAGTAGCATGAATAGCTGTAGCGTTAGCATCAGTTGTAAAGTGTATCATGACTGGAGTAGTAGTTGTAGTAGAAGCAACAGTAGTAGTAGGAATAGTAGTAAGTAGTAGTAGAAAAACTAGCAGTAGTTGCAGTAGAGTCTGCATCAGTAGTAAGCGTATCAGAAGTAGTTAAAAATTGTAATATTCAACAATAGAAGGACTAGCAATAGTAGTGATACCTTCAGTGATAGTAGTAGAAGCAGCTTCCCTAGCAGCAGTACTTGTAGTACAGTATAGTAGTAGAAAAAGTAGTAGTAGGAGCAATTAGCATAACATCAGTAATAGCAGTGGTAATTGTGGTGATAAGCATCAGTAATAATAGTAGTAGTAATTGTGATAGTAGAATCAGAAGTAGACGTAGTTGTAGTACAATATAATAGTAGAAAAAGTAGCAGAAGCAGCAGTACTATAAGTAGCAAATGTAGTACAGAGAAAGGAAGAATTGAGGAATATGATGATGAAGATAAACATGGCAGCTGAGAGAAAGAGAAGCTGTAAGAAAAGGTTTAGAGAAGGAAGCCAAGCAGGAAGAGGTCCACTGTACCTGGGGTTCCTCTGCGGGCCTGAGCGATGGTGAGTTTCTCATGAGGGGCGCGGCAATCACAACTGGTCTCCCTGGCAAAGATGGCAGGCTCTGTCAGAGTCTGAGCCAGAGAGAAGGAGAAAGAGACCGGGTTACGGACCGAATACAGCACAAATATCTTATTTTGGAGGATGGATGAACGAAGGAGACTCAGGTTAGGTTTTACAACCTCTCAAACACCTCAAAGCAGAGCCACCTATCCCTTCAGTGGTACACAATCTGTCTCCTCTTCTCATGCCCATTCCTGTTACAGTAATCTCCATTATGTTATTGACCACCGCTGACGCCTGCTCCATGTTGGAACAATGGATTGAGAGACAGGCAGAGTTGCACTCAGTGTTATTGATCTCATTTGCTTCTGTGTGTATTAATATGTGACAGACAACAAGGACAGAGCTATCGTTGTTGAAGGCAGGAATAAGCTATATTCAAAAGGAAGAATAAGATGGAAGAGGTCACGATTGAGGACAGGGAGAAAACTGTTCTAATTTTTAAGCTACAAAAATGTAAATTGAGCAGATACAGACAGAATAACGTGGGACATGGAAACAAAGACAGACAGCATAAGAAAGGAATATACAGGATGATACTCGTCATAGCTACATCAAGGTTAAAGTGCTGCAGTATGAGCCTGCCTGAAAATTTGTCTTTGTGTGCCATCTGTTGACTGCAGGGAAGATTTATTGAATTTCATTCACACTGATAAAAAGAGAATCCGAGTCGGCAGAGCGCAGAAAACAGTGGGAGTGTGAGAGGAGGAGGAAAAAATGGAAACAGATTCAGTCTCTGTGGAAAAGACAGGGAACTGACGTCAAACATGTCCTCTAGGAAAGGCAACAAAACCAGAGTCTGGCATGTTCCATGGACACAGACAGGGTCAGACCTGTGATCATGAAAGGAGCGAAGTGGCGTTTTATCAAATGAACGGTTCTGAATAGCAGTGCAGGTTTGGAGAATGAGACTTAACAGGTAGATTTTTTTCCCGGGGAAACGTTTTTTGAAAGGAAGAATCTGTGTTTCAAACAGTGTTTAATTTACATATCCTCCAAGTGGCACCTATAATGTAGATAGTTTTGCTTTCAGTAATGAAAAATGACATTAAAAATAAAATCAGCAACATTTTCCCCCAGAAATTGTGTTCCCATTAATCTGGATATTACACAGACCTCACTGTCAACCGTTTTTCAATTGGACTATTTCTTCAAGAGAAGGTCATTTCAGTAATGCCTACAAATATTTTGGACATGTAAAGCGTTTTTTTTTTTTTTGAAATTCTTGCCATAATACTCAATTACCATAAGCCTTTTTGATGGGGAAAGAAACCTGCCTCACTGAGGACAGATGTGTCATCTATGTCTGCATGACAGGATTATCTGTGAACAGGTGACGGCCCCAGATTCATTAAATATTAACACGCCAGGATTCTTTTTGCATATGTACTTAAAAGAGAGCTCTGCTAAGCAAACATAAACATATGGGAGGTGCTGCAGCTCGTTTAACTGTCAACTTCTGTTTGGGACCCTGGAGACCATAGGGGCGTCTTTAGCAGCTCAAAAAACATACTTTAAATTATTTAATCGCTGTGATACTTCATGACTTTTCCTCGTCCTAAGGTTAAAAACAATGGCGGTCTAACAAGGAGCCCAGACATAAGTACACATCACTATGTAGGACAACATACTGTACCTTTCTCTGACTGTGAATGACTTTTTGGCAAATGAAAGGAATATATATAGTTGTTCATGCACAGCCCATATAACACATAAATCATGAAATACCCCTTATTTGGTGTAATAATGAAGCTTTATGCTCATTTATGTATTTTGTCACCTTCATCATTTACACACAACAATGGGGTGTATGAGTAAAGCCATTGTCAACTAAACAAGGGTTTAAAACCAAAGAATTTAGCACTATAAAACAACCTTTTCACCTTAACTTAATTGTGGGAATCCTATTGTCGACCATGCAGGATTCTGCAGCCAAAGTGTGTTACATTTGGACAAATTACACTTCTGGCTCAGTCTTTAAGATCTTTATTTTGAATTATACACCTCTGAAGAGCTGTGGAGGTTGCACTTATCTGCACTAAAAACACACAAAGCAAGTATAAAGATGCGTATGTCGCAATGTGCCCAATGATCAGCTGTGGTTGATAAATTGCCATTTCACTTTCAGTAAATTATATAAATCGCTGCAGAATCTGAGGTGGGGGGGCAGCAATTTAGATGTCTGGAAACAGGTTATTTAGTGTGGACAAGTGGGTTTTAATTGTCATGCATGCGACTGTCTGTCAAAAGTAGCAGCTTATATGAAAGCCTGCAACACAGTGGGAGGTAAAGAGTTACAGCTGCAAGAGGAACAGAACAAAGGCATTAATCTTTAACATTGTTAGATGTGAGACTCCTTTCAATGGTCTCTACATCCCCTCTCCTTGTACATCCAACCCCTTGTTTTTCTTTAAAAAAAACTTGGCTTTGAACATTTTGTCAGGACATGTTAAACATTTCCTGAGCTGCCCTGTCTGTTCCCATCTGAGAGGCGTCAGAATTCAATGCTACAGCCACCAGAGCTACAACAACAAAAGGTTGTGCTGAGGGAGCATCCTCGTCACCCATGATTCCTTGGGCATGGTGAGAACAGAGGGGGGTGGCTTACCAACACTAAGCTGCACATTTAAGCTTTACACGGTAAAGCCAGGGGCCCACGCGGGCCTATCAGGACGAGCGGTCAGTAAAGCCCTCTCTGGCACAAGCAAAGAACATCTGGCATAAGAAGGATTAAATCTGGGGTGGGGGAATAGAGGGACTGTTGGGCATGAGAAAGCTTAGGGGGTTAAGGTGAGACTGCCTCAGAAGGACAGAGAGAGGCGGGAGTGAAGACAGAGGAGAGGAAAAGGCCAGGATTACACCAAAGAAGAAAAGAGAAGGAGAGAGCACACAGGAGGCTCTCCGACCTTACTGCCGCAGTGTCCCTTCAGCAGGACATCCATGCTATGCTGTCCACTGCATGAAACCCCTCCTTCATTCAAACACACACACTTTCCACTCAGTGTTCTGAGAATATCCCACAGCCACATGCTGTGAGGGATCGGTTTCATAACAGGGGAGAGAAAGCCGGATCCTTTGTCTTCCTCTCTCGCCCTGTTACAAGCACCGCAAGACATGAACACACAAGCAAACACACGCACACACTCAAACAACGCCCTACCGTCCGGGGATGGGGGCAGGTGTGTTCAAGCTCCTCCATGATTCCCGAAGACTCATGGGATGCAGCCGTGGTCCCTCTGTTATGTGACTCAGCATCAGTGAGAGGCTGCCTCTCTCCTCACCGCTCAGTCTCTTTCTCCTTCCTCTGTTCCCCCGCCCACTCCCTGCTCTGCCTCTCTGTCCTCTCCTCCTCCTCATCCTCTCTGATCCCCTGCTGCAGAGAGGAGGCAGTGAAGAGGTCCCACTCTGCAGCTATTTCTCAGTAAGGAATGAACTCTGCTGGTAATTTGATGTTGGTGCAAATATAGTAATATAGTTTGACCTTCAGACCTTTGTATAGGCTACATGTTTGCTACTCTCTATTGACAGCTTAACACTGACTTGACTTTGTACTTGAGTCATTAATCTCAAGGCACATCTGGCATCAAAGATACAGATGTTCGGTAACAGAAACAAGGGAAGGAGACACCTTCAGTAGAATACCCTGGTGCCTTTAAGCTGTAGGCTACAGTATTGTAAAATTATGTGAAAGTGACAAAGGCAATACAATTGATTTAGAGACTGTCATGAATCTATTATCAATAACAATAATCCATATCAATTTATGTGCAACTGTAGGGAAATCACCACTCCCCTATTAAAGACCACATGGCACACGAGAAAAGAAATATGTATCTGATTATCATGTCAGACCTTTGTTTGCTGTGAGTGAGTCGCTGTTTAAATAAACGATCTTCGCTCGCAGAGCTGGTGAGCTCTCGCCATGGCGACGGAAAAGAGGAGAGAGCTCCGAGAAAGGACCAATGAGAGAATAGCTACCGCAGTCCGGCAGTATATGCGGCGAGGATTGGTGGAGTGGCCCATAGCACCATCAGTGGGATGTTACAGAGTATTACTAGTAATACAATTAATTTAAATTGGAAGTGAACTGACATCGTTTATAAATGCTGCAAACAGATCTGAAAATAAATATTGCACGTTTGCAAAAAACAAAACAAATAAACTTTACCTAAAATCTCTGTGGTAAGCATGTTAGTTACACTATCAGCGTATTGTAATGCTTGGTAATTAACATGTTAAGTGCCTTGCTGTAGCTAGCAAGTTGAAGATACAGGCTATAGCCGTCGTTTTAGCTGTAACAGTCGCGCCCATGTGTGAGTGGTCAGCTCTGCCTGTCACCCTACTTGACAGATGCACCGTTGGAGTGTGCATTTGTTATTTGGTACAGAAATTCAAACTGGGTATATGTTTCAAACTACACAAACTTGTCTCTTTTCCTTTCCCCCACCATAGGCTGTACGCAGCGACTGGACTGGAATAACTATGCAGGATTTATGAATGTTCTGTGCAGGGATGCGAGCTTACCTTCAGCGGTCCTCTTCTGCAACAAAGAGGCGCAACAGCTGCGCAACACGAACGCGCTCTGATGCGTCGCTGTTTCACCATGGCGTCCAAAAAAAACTAACAACTGTGTAAAGTAAGAATATCTTTTACCACTTGCCTTTCTGTCTGGTTTGCTGTTAAGTCGATGACAGGAGTTCGTCTCCGCTCCAGCACGGCGGGCAAGTGCAGCAGAGCGACTGCAGCCCGTCTGTCCAATCTGTCCAGAGGACAGATCAGCTGCTCACAGCTGATGGGCTGCGACAGCTGTGGGTCACGGTTCATTCAGCCTTAGGCTACAGTAGACTATACGGCTATTAATCTATAGCTACATTCATGAACCCTCTTCCTATTATACAGTGGAGGACATTACTGATGCAATTGACAACTTGTAGTCTAATTTTACAATCAAAACAAAAATGATAAAACACTTTTATAGCTTATAAAGTTAACTTTAAAAATTAAGTAGCCTACCAAACTTAACAATATAGCGTACTCTGATCATGTGTCCAGAAATCCACTAGGCTATGCTATGCCTAGCCACCTGCTGGCCTGTTTGGAGCAGGATAACATTATCATACAGTTATTTGCTACAAAAGCCAATATAGGCTGTGGGGATGAAGGACAAAACACGCTTTGTGTTGTCTTTGTTGGACGCACTGTAGTGTGTATGTGGCCCCAATCTGGGACAGGAACCCATTGTGCCCTCCAAAGTCCAGCCTGGTCACCATGGAAACGGGCTTCATCGCCATGCATAGACATTGCCTTTAAAAAGGAGGGAGCCTGATGGCAATCCTACAATTTAAGAGTCCTAATTAATTAGGCTACTTGTATTATTCCCAGGAAAACACAGACACTATGAACTCACTATCTGGGACATCAGACAATATGTGTCCAGAGAAATATTGTAATTGTGGAAAGACTAGCCCATCTTACAAAAAAGTTTATTTGTTCTACACAAACCTACATATTTCCTACAGAACTTCTTCACATCTGAAACATATTGCAGATGAATCTGACTTTTATTGTAAAATAAAAGTTTCAATAGGCTAGATTTTATTTCCTATTTCCTACAGGCCTAACCTAGGAAGTGGGCTGGGATAGGTAGGGGAAACTAAGAGACAGCTAGATTGTGAAAGTAGTAGCCTAAATCCCTTCCTTCATACCTCCCTCCAAAGCCTATTTTTATGTGCAGTGAGTGCACGGGCAGACAGGTATACAGATAGACAAGACAGGTAGACAGAGTCTATTACAGACAGACACAGATACCAGATTTGTTTTCATTTTTGTGTCAGAGCATTTACTGTCAACAAAAAAGGCTTCTAAACTAAATTGCCAGCTTTAAGGAGTGAGAGTGAAAACATGGTACATTTTTGATTATCTGCATGCCACATATAGGCTACAGCTGTGTTCATGGGGGAAAAATGCTGAAACCACCTCTCAGTTTAGTTTAGTTAGTGCGTTTAATTGTCTAACAAGTTTGGTATGTGAAAAAAAAATGTTTGCAATAAAGGGAAATCCCCAGGACTTTGATGTCATTAATCCAATGAAGGAATGAAAAACCTGAGAACAATAGATTATGGTAAATTGTAGGTGATCTAATTATTGAGGGTGAGTATTGCGTCATATCTTCATGTAGCTATTTTGTAAATAAAATCTTAAACTACAGAGTAACTTACTGGTTATGACAGATAAGCTATATACTGAATTAAAAAGTGCTTTAGAGTAAACATGTCACTGTAAACCAGGGATTGCCAACTTGTGTGCTCGTTTATGTCAGTCGGTAGTGTGCGGGACTCCCGTTAGCAGCGTTGATTGATTCCAACATAGCCTACTGCGGATATTTTTTCTCCCTTGTTAAACAAATTCATTACAAGGACACTTTTGCACAAACTCACAATAAAGCATGTGCTGCAGTGTGTGTGCGCGTCACGGTGTTTGGACCGCATTCATAAACCTATGGACGCTTCATTTCCCTAAGGAAATTCAGGTGAATAGGCTACAATCACACGTTTAGGCTACTGACGGCTTTTTCAGAGGTGTGTCAAGCAAGCCAGAGACTCTTTTGAATGTCCTTCAGAACTTTTCAAAGTTAAAGCTCTCACTAAACTCGCAAAATCGCTTTTATTTTGGAGGCAGAATTACTTTGACGGGTATATTAACTGTAGCTGTCACGACTGAGATCTATTTCAGCACCAGCTATCAATTTATTTATTTTTTATTTTTCTGCTGTCAAAGCAGTTTCGCGGCCAGATATTATTGCTGGCGGGCCACTTCGACCACTGCTGGAGACTGTGGAACAAACAAGTCGGTTAAATTGATCCACACCGCCACCGTGCGGAAAGCCCGGAGGCAGCGCTTAATTTTATTGGCTGACAGCGATGTGATGTCACTTCCTGCATATGACTTTCCCCGGGAAGGCGATTTGGCGCGGACTGTGCTGTTGTTGTGTTGACCTGCTGTCAGTGAACAAACGTTAAAGGCAAAAAGTCGAAGCCATGGCTCCGGTATCAAACTCAGACAAAGACATGGACGTTTCGGACGGCGGTGAGTTCTTGTTTCGCGTTGCTAGTTTGCTGCCTTTAGAGGAGTCGCGTCTGTAAAGCGAACGAGTTAGCTACGGTAACACATTAGCTAGCTTCCACTATCATACTAACGTTACAACAAGGGACACGCTTAGGCCATTAATACGGCATGCGTATTATATACTTTAACTAGCTAACAGGCTGCCATATGTATTTAGGTTTAAGGTTCAAGAGCGGCCAGACATAGCGTAACAAATTTTTAGCTGACTACGATTGTTTTCTAACTTGACCTTGTCTCCACTGCAACTTTCAAGACGCTGTTTGTAAGACAGAGTCATTGACTTGCACTCTCCCCGTATCCATTACAGAAATAATGAGTTAATCGTAACAAAATGCCAACAACGTAGTAAGACTTCTCCTCGTGTGTAAGTTTTGGAGCAGAAGAAACAGTGTTAGTGCGCCTGCTCTCCTCAAACGATTTACTGCAAATTGACATTAGTGGAGTTTGTGCTGGGGCCAAACATCTGCAACTCAAGCTGTCATGTTCGCACCTGCTGCTGCTGCATCATCTTGTCGATGTGTTCCGCTCCTCAGACGGTGGAGGTGATGCCTGTGGTTTGGCAAAGTCTCGCTCCAGACGGGAGAAGAGGGAGAAGGTGGGGAGGAAGTCTGCACTGGAGCAGCTCAAGAAAGCCAAGATGGGGGAGAAGATCAAATATGAGGTGAGAAAAGTGTTGTGCACATCATTCCTAATTGTTTGTATTTAGTTCAACTCCTCTAAAGCCTCATCAACTTACTTGTTAGCAAAGTTTGTACTGACTTGGCCTTTGAGCTACATGATTTCACTCAAGTATGAGCTGTTTCGATTAAAATATTTACTGAATTAAACATTAGACTAATTTTTAAAAACATTTTTTAGGACATTTTCCACTCTAAACAATTGATTAATTGAAATAATAATCACCAGATGAATTGAAAATAGAAATAATCCTCCCTACTGGGCCTTATCTTGTTTTTAGTTTTTATCTGATATTTATACAGACATATAAAAATTGTAAGATTGCAGAAATAACGTAATTTAAAAAAGCAATAAAGTGTACTGTGTTTTTTTCCCCCCTGCTACTGTTATCCAACAGTGAATAGTGCATTTTTGTCTGATATTATTCAGCAATGCTTGTTTCACATGGTCAACTATTAATATTTTCCAGGTGGAGGAGTTAACAAGTGTGTATGAGGAGGTGGATGAGCAGCAGTACTCAAAGATAGTACGAGACAGACAAGAGGATGACTGGATTATCGATGATGGTGAGTCCGAGTCTTCTGGATTCACTGTGGGAATATGTGTGAAGGTGGAGGTCTAACGTGAATGTTTCCCTTCTGTCAGACGGAACAGGATATGTTGAGGATGGGAGAGAAATTTTTGACGATGATTTGGATGATGATGTCGTTGAAAACAACAAAGGTAAATATTCATACAGTATTATGTTATACAAGAATGCACATGTATTTTGAGCGTGGGACAATGGACAGTGAATGGTTTTGTACAAAGAGTGATATATTATATATTTTTTGACAATGTTTTATTTGTGTTTGCAGGAAAAGCAGGTGTTAAAGGAGCAGACTCTAAGAAAAATGTGAAGAAATCTGCCGTAGCCAAGCCCAACACCATTAAGAGCCTCTTCATGAACAGTAATGTGAAAAGGCCTGCTGAGGTAAGACACCATTGATTTGCTTGGGTGATTGCTTCTATTAAAAATGTCCCTTTGTGTGCTCTGTGCGGATCTTAACTTGAAATAAAAGAGATGCTCTAGCCTTCTTTTTTCTCTGGCATTCACCATAAGCATAATTGTGTCTCCTGCAGAAAGACGTGGACCTGTCTAAAGATGACCTTTTAGGAGATATTTTACAGGACCTGCACTCTGAGGTTGGTACCATGTCATCTAGCGAATACAAAACTTCAACATAATTAAGCACAATAGATTGTCAACTAATAGTTTAATGCATCTGACTTTCTCTGTATGAGACACTGAGAGCCTTATTGAGTCGGGTACCCCACATACAGACTTTATGTGGGTGGGACTTTATGTTTGGTGACTTAAAGCATTGTGATAGATGTTATCTGGTATTACGTTAGAAGACATGGACACAGTGTGTATTTTACAAACACGGAGGGACAGTGTTCACACCAGTGCAAATGTCATTCGGAACCACGTTAATTTTGATTGTTTCGATAGGCTAAGTCATCAACAAGCCTCCTCTACATGCGGCACACCCGCTGTTGTGGAAACGGAAGTGCGTACACGCAAATCCAAAAGACAAGTTCTGTGTTTTGTTTTTGTTTTGTGGCGACTTTATAAAGAGAACTGAAGGGAAGGGAGCAGAGTCAAGTTGTGAGTAAGCACTAAAATTAGGAAGAACTAGAATTAAAATGGTGAAATAAGAAGGCAGGTGAGCGTTCCTGTGGGAAACTCTGAAATGTGTTCCTGCACATTGACATTTACATTCAGGCTTTTAGCTGATGTGCAATGATGAGTGAGCAAGTCATGGGCAAAGTGCTGCTAAAATAATTACACCTGTGTCCTTTTTAGTTAGTTTACAGTCACAGTCCGTTAATATAATTTCTCACTCAGTGGTGGTGACACAGTCTTTTTTTTCTCTTCATTGCCAACTTCTGCGCCTCTTTATTGTCCATGTCTAACCTGATATGTTGTGAATTCCCAGAAACCGACTCTTCTGACTCCTCCTCCAGTGGTCACTCTGAAGAAGAAGAAGTCTCTTGGATCCCCCATGAATCCCTTTTCCATCAAACCTCAGATGCCAAAGGTATCCTTTAACCTATCATAATTGAAACTATCATTTCTTGAAAAAAATTTTCAACATGATAGGAAGTATGAATTCTGTAATTGTACTAGGAGTCACCCTCAGTTACGGGGTTAAAAGCCAAAGTGATCAGGCCGCCGCCTTCTGAGCCGACCCCCAGGTCATCAGCCCGCCTCCCTCTCTCCACATCTGCTCTTCCTGAGCAGGAGCAGAAGGCAAAGGTGGAGGAAATGGATGGAGATGAAGGTAAGAAAGACTGAAACAACTGGGCTGGCCTGGTACTCTTTCTCCCTTCCAGCAACAAGGACACACTTACCTTTTGTGACAATCTGTTTCTCAGGGAATGACGCTCTGGCATTTGATGGGGTGGATTTTGATGAGCCGATGGAGGTCGGACTCGAGGAGGAGAAGCCTGCCATTAAAGATGATGCTGAGACTAAAACAGCAGCAGCACCAGTTAAAGTGGAGCCCAAAGCAGAGCCTCAGGACCCTGTCTTATTGTAAGTCTTTTATCTGCTTTATTTGCTTCTGCTTTATTGGGGTTGTAGATACTGTTTTCTGTCTTAGTCTTACAATGCTGTACCTACATTATATACACTGAGCTAAAGACTCCTTTCCCAGGTCCAACAGGATTGGAAGCTCTTGGGGGCAAGAGGAGGAAAATGGAGCCAGCGAAGCACAAGCAGAGATACAGGTTGACTCCAGTCAACTCCCACTGGTGGAGGGGGCAGATGGGGAGCAGGTTTTCCGCTTCTATTGGTTGGATGCCTTTGAAGAGCCCTACAGCCAACCAGGTAAGTCATATTCACACTTGGATGATTATATAGTGGATACTGTCATATAATTCTTTAACCCAAAGAGCCTGTTCAGATTTGTAGAGCACATCCTGATGTTTTAACTTATTTGTGGCCTAGGTGTGGTGTACTTGTTTGGAAAAGTGTGGATCGAGTCTGCAAAGTCTCATGTCAGCTGCTGTGTTACTGTCAAGAACATTGAGAGGACCATGTACTTCCTGCCTCGTGAATATGTAAGTTTCCTGCTCTGCCACTCGTCCCAAGTAATCTTACATGTCAACCCTGTGTATACTTTTGTAGGTTTTAATTCAATTGTTGGGTTGTGTTTGAACAGAAAGTGAACACTAAGACTGGGGAGGTGTCGGACACTCCTGTAGGAATGATGGACGTCTACCAGGAGTTTAACGATCTCTCGGAGAAGTTCAAGATCATGAAGTTCAAGTCCAAGGTCAGTACTCCCCTTGGTTACGGACTGTATATGATTTTCTGGAAAGCGGCAAGTTTGCCATGTTTGTAACTGGTGCATGTTTTTGTTTGTCTTTCTATGTGCAGAAAGTGGAGAAGAACTATGCTTTTGAAATTCCTGATGTTCCCAGTCAGTGCGAGTATCTGGAAGTCAGATATTCTGTGAGTAGAAGTGTTCATGTGTCCCAGGCCTAAAGCTGCTTCTTTTTTTTCTTTTTTAAATGATAACCTAGTAATGTGGTAAATATTGTTTTTGCAGGCAGAGTTCCCTGCGCTGCCTTCGAACCTCAAGGGGGCGACCTTTTCCCACATTTTTGGAACCAACACATCCAGTCTGGAGCATTTCCTACTCGGCAGGAAGATTAAAGGGCCTTGCTGGCTGGACATCAAGACACCACGTAAGAGGGGATTTTGCTTTGTCCAGAATATTTAAAGATAATTATTTTGTGTTAGTGAAACTGATTTAACATCCTGCATTTAGTTAAAACATGAGTAGTATTTTAGAGGTAAGGGTGTTTGGTAGCACTTTCATGTTGGAACATTTTGTGTGAGCTATGAGACGTTTATAAAGACAGTATTTTGAACTCTGCACACCCCTGGAAAATTCACATGTAGCCCCTTGTGTCTGTCAGAGCTGATTGGCCAGCCAGTCAGCTGGTGTAAGGTGGAGGCTCTGGCCCTGAGGAGTGACCTGGTCACTGTGGTCAAAGACCTGTCACCTCCACCCATCACCGTCATGTCCATAAGCCTCAAGACTATACAGAACCCCAAGACACACCAAAACGAGGTCAGGACACTGCCAGCTGTACACGCAATCAAATATACTGTTTCCCTTTTTAGCCCCCAATGTACTGGACAAGCATAGAATGATTTCTTATTTAGCCATGTTATTAAATGGTGTGCTCAGACAGACTGAAGTAGTTAGTGAGCGAGGACGTGATGATATAATTGTTCCTCTGCAGATTGTGTCCCTTGCTGCACTAATCCACTATCAGTTCCACACGGATAAAGCTGCCCCCCGGCCCCCATACCAGAACCATTTTTGTGGTGAGTTATTTACACCCATCTGATTGAATGTTTTCAATTTAATGCATTAATGCAATTTAGTGGAAATGAGTTGTAAAATATGATGGAAAGATGGATCTAGATCGATGGATGGATATTGTTGTCATATATTCTTTCTTCATATATTGTTGTCTTTGCAGTGGTCAGTAAACCGGCCGACTGTATCTTCCCCTATGACTTCAAAGATGCTGTGAGGAAGAAGGTGGGTGGCCATGTGGCGGTGGAACTCAGCTTGTTGGTATCGTAGATTCTTTTACACAGAAACAGGAACCACTTTGTTTTGATCATTTCAGAAAATATTGGTTTACGTATTTACACGGTTTTACAGATGTAGCTGTGCGAGGAAATTACCAGCTGATGATTATGAACAGCACAGTGTTAAATTTCATTCATATGGCACTTTAATATAAGCAGATTCAACAGTACAGATAATATGTACTAGAAGTCAATTTTATTAGAATTGATGGAGAATAACATTTCTTGACTGTATGTGGCCAAAACATGGACCTGACTCCCTTCCTCTCTTAGAATGGGAAAGTGGAGATAGCTGCTACAGAACGGACTCTGCTTGGCTTCTTCTTGGCCAAGATGCACAAAATCGACCCAGATGTGCTCGTGGTGAGTAGAACCTGTTGGGATTCATTCTATTACACTTTTCTGAATGGATAATAGAGAAATCTTTAGCGTCCATATGATATAGGATGCCCTGATAGCAGAGGTGAGCGGGTAAAAATAAGTATGCTTATTCTTTTCCTCTAGGGTCACGACATCTTTGGTTTTGACCTGGAAGTGATTCTGCAGAGGATCAGTGTGTGCAAGGTTCCCCACTGGTCTAAGATTGGACGCCTCAGGAGGGCAAATATGCCCAAACTAGGGGTAAAAAAAAGCAAAAAGTCTTGAGAAACATAAGGTTCTTCTATATCATAGTGTACATCACTAAACGTTGCTGTACTTGGCAGGGTCGCGGTGCCTTTGCAGAGAAGAGCGCAACCTGTGGTCGTCTGGTGTGTGATGTGGAGATCTCAGCCAAGGAGCTGATTCGCTGTAAAAGTTACCATCTGACCGAACTTGCTGCACAGGTGCTGAAGACGGAGAGAGTCACAGTCCCTCAGGAAAACATCAAGAATCTCTACAGGTTGGTTTGTCCTTAAAGGGTGAGTTTAGGGCTGGACAATGAAACAATAATGGTTATTATCCTGATATACTTTTCTGCCATAACAATATAACAAATGTTCGATAAATATTTGATTCAAGTAATTTGAATCACAAACGAATTAGCACTTAAATTTTCTATTAAGATATTTATTTTGTTTTATTTTGTACCTCATTTTACTCATGCACGTGTTTTCCCATCAAATCTGGGTTTTTTGTGGTTTTTTTTTATTTAACCTTAGTGTCGATCCAAAAAAGGCTTTTGTTCTCAGTGTGTGTTTGTGTTTCAGTGACTCTCCTCACCTGCTCTACCTGTTGGAGCTGACATGGACAGACGCCAAGCTGATCCTCCAGGTCATGTGTGAGCTCAACGTGCTGCCGCTGGCCCTGCAGATCACCAACATTGCTGGCAATGTCATGGTAACTCCTTTCACCTACATGAAACCACCACTTACTGGTGCAAAACAAAAATACAGTAAATGTTTTAGAAACACAGTTATTGTTTGATTTTATTACTCAGTTCAAACAGAAAACGCAGACGGCAATTTAAATAGCGCTCGCGCTGGATGTTGTGATACTATCATCTAAATTACTGACACAATTGTAATGCATCTGCCTGAGCTGATTTAGGAATCACTCTGGAGCAAATCTGTCTCAGAATCCAAAATGACCAACATTATTTGAAAAAAAAGCATTTTAAACACACAAGAAAGAAGAAACAGGGAAGGGCGATCTTTGAGGTTGTATGGTTGAAATATTGAAAATTGAAGTGAGAACCAAAACACTCTGGAGAGAAAAACAATTCTTTGTTGTCTCGTGAATGAAGAGAAAACAATGGAAGCTTTAAATGTTAAAGCCTAACAAGGGGTAGCGCAACATTATTTTCATAGCGTGTTTCAGAGGAACCGCAAAATACAAAGCAGCGGGGTAAGATGACATTTAGACTATTGATCGAATGGGACATAAAGATACCATCACCCCTGTGCTTCAGGTTGACTATTTTCCTTTTGGAGATTTAATTGGCTTCCTGCATCAATCACTGGATTTTTTTCCTGCTTCTTCCCTGCAGTCTCGTACTCTGATGGGCGGTCGCTCTGAGAGGAATGAGTTCCTGTTGCTTCATGCTTTCCACGACAAAAACTACATCGTCCCTGACAAACCCTCCTTCAAAAAGGCCCAGCTGGAAACGGTAAAGTCCTCACACAATCTCACACCACTTGTTTTTGTAATTTACACAGGTTGTTTTTTTTACAGGCTCAGAATGATGCGGAGGTGGTACTACCCTGATCACATGCACACTTTTTTACAAGCAACGTAGTTTAAATAGTAATGATATGCTTCACAATTATCACATTAAAGCATATTTAAAAAACAAATAAACAAAAAAAACCTGTTCAACTTTAAATTAAATACAACTCCCAGTAATCGTTACATCATACTGAATATACAAAATCTTTTAAAACAATTCGATTCTGCTGGCAAAATATTATTACACAAATACAGGTCTCCTGTATTTGAAGCGTTTATGTAAATGTAAAAGTAATCCCCTCTTACACTCTTCCCTTTGTTTTTTTTCTCAGTATATGTGGTGTGGTAATGAACTAATGACACGTTCTACAGATGTCTGTTTGAACTTTTGTATTTGATAAAGTGGGGAAAAGTTGATTTAAAAAAAACAACAACTTAAAAATACTTTATTTCCTTCCATTTCACTGGTGTAAACAAACGCACTCTGGCTTTGTATTCGCTGTCCAGCATGGCTTTCAGTCACAAAATTAGAGGTGTTTAGAGCAGCATTCACAAACGCAGACGGTATTTTTAAACATCTGCTGGCTACATCAAAATACATTGAAACAACTAACACTGGGGAAAAGCTGGAAACATTGTTTATTTATAAAAGCGCAGCAGTCCAGCCAAACAGACTTTTGCCGGCACACTCTACTGATTACGATACAGCGTCAACACATCAGTGTTAATGCCCCAATTGCAGTTACAAATGACAGATATCCAAAAGTTGTATCGCATGATAGAAAATACCACAAAGACACCCATCACCGGTTTGTTGAGAGCTGGAAGCGGGACCAAATCTGACAGAGATGGCCACCTCGGGATTTTCAATGCAGGAAAAACCCTTTGTACAGTCATGTGACAAATGCTCTTTTTGCTTTTGCTCCTGTGTCCCAGGTGGAGGGGGAAGAAGATGTGGATGCAGGAAAAGGCAAGCGGAAGAAGAAGGCAGCCTATGCTGGAGGTCTGGTGCTGGATCCTAAAGTTGGTAAGTCTGGGTTTTTAGTTTAATGTCTGCCTTTCTGTCTGTATTTGTCTCATTTGTATGTTTGTTCACATATTCCTATAACCTCCCTCTTTCTCTAAAGGTTTCTACGACAAGTTTGTGCTGCTGCTTGACTTCAACAGCTTGTATCCCTCAATCATCCAAGAGTTCAACATCTGCTTCACCACTGTGCAGAGGGAAGCTTACAACGCACAGAAGAAGAATGAGGTGTGTGTGAGCACTGTTTGTTAATATGTTTACTTTAGGAGCAGACCTGTTTGTGTAAAAATCTGTGAGGTCCAGACATGATTTATAGATTGATCCCAATGCCCAGGTAAAGAGGCGTTAATAAAAACCATCATGCATGCTCCCCTTTTTTTTTTATGCCTCGGAGAAAAGTTCAATCTCACTTCCAGCTCTTGTTTCCTTTTTAACAGGATGAGGAGTCAGAGGAGATTCCAGAGATCCCAGATTCTAATTTGGAGATGGGAATCCTGCCCAAAGAAATCAGGAAGCTGGTCGAGCGGCGTAAACAGGTCAAACAGCTCATGAAACAGCAAGACATCAACCCAGACCTCTACCTGCAGGTACGCACGCACACAGATGCTGCACATTGCTGTACAGTATTTGTCTGTTTATATTGAACGGTTATTATTTGACACTTTTTTTCCTATTTAAACTTATTGATCTAAAACATGCAATATAAAGTGAGGTCTACTAATGTTGAGGCAGTTTAAAAAGTTTGTACCGTGCTCCTGTGGTTGTATTTTTTTTGTTGTTTATGGTGGTAAAACGCATCATAACGTCCACAGTAACGTCTCACGCTTCTCCAGCAGCATTATAAACTTCTCTGTCCATCTGTATGCTTACTCTGTTCCCAACGACCGTTGATTTGCCAAAGTCCTTTAAATTCTAAAGCCACACAGCAAGTAGTGTATTTATTTAACCATGCGTTAGTGAAATGATGACTGTTTGGATCATAGTGAGCATTCAGATGAACAGCAGTTTGGCATCTTCGAGTTCATTATATTGTCACGTGCAAATTGCTGCATAAAGACACCAAACAACAGATTTATTTAAATAGACAATGATATACATATAACCATACACGTACAATGTTTGTTGTTGATTAATCGATTAGTTGTTTGGTCTGTAAAATGTCACAGTAGTGAAAAATGTTTCCCAGAGCCCTAGGAGAGATGTCCTCAAATGTTTAGTTTTGTCCACAACCCAAAGATATTGAATTACTGTCATAAAGGAGTAAAGAAACCAGAAAATATTCACATTTGAAAAGCTGAAATCGAAGAGAAAAAAACAATTGATAGTTGACAAATAATCAATTAATCGACCATTTGCTGCAGCTTTAATAGGCTGATAGGCTCTGTGATGACAGGTGTGGTTAACCATCAAACCCACCCATGATGCTCAACATCATCAGTAGCCTCGCACCAGCCTAATAATTATTATAATAATAATAATTACTCTCTTCCTATTGTCATCCATTATATTTACCATAGAGACAACTAGTATCAAATCTTTATAACCTAGGAGGTGTTGGGGGAATATTTAAACCTTATTTGTTTGGCCTAATTTGAGTGTGTCTCTGCATCAGTATGACATTCGCCAGAAGGCCCTGAAGCTGACTGCTAACAGTATGTACGGCTGCCTGGGATTCAGCTACAGCCGCTTCTACGCCAAGCCACTTGCTGCCCTGGTCACACACAAGGGTAGAGAGGTGAGTCAAATTCTGGTCTTCAGGGTTACCCCAGTGCAAACAGGAGAGGACAATAGGAATTAAAACACTTCCATTTTCATCCACAAGAGGGTACTGCTGCATCAAATTCCACATTGTGCACAGTTCCTTCCACTATTCCTGTCTCTCTTCCCATCTGTTTTCTCCCTTCTCACATTTGTCATCCTTTCTCCCCACAAAACGATCTCTTTCTCCCTCAGACTGTGCCCTTCCCAGTTATGAATATGATTTAGCCTACTTTGCCAAATCAATGGTGAAAAACAACGTTAGAGACCGTTTATGTTGTAATGAGAAGTTTGAGAATGTTTTTGCTTCATTAGGAAACAGATTAGACTCTGACGGGCCGCACTGGACTGGGTAAATGGGAAACTGGGAAGTGGTAATTTTATAATATATAATTTAATATCATAAGCATTAGTATAATAAATAACTAGGTAGCAGCAAGTTGCTAATGCTAATCAACATTATCAGGCACCGATGTCTTTTTGGCTATTTGCCAAACTATGAAAACCACCAATGGAATGGTAAAAGTAGGCTTTTATTTTGACCTCTACATCAGGGGTCCTCAACTACATTTGTTCAAGGGGACAAATTTTTCTAAACAGACACTGTGAGGCTCGGAAATGATTGCCATAAGCCTATTACTGTTTTATATTTTCAACTTTTGCAAAATTAACGTTCTTATTAGCCTATATCAGTGTGAACAGACTCCTAAAAAAACATGGTAGGCCTAGGCCTTAATCCATCCAGTAGCCTATGTAGATATATAGTGTATAATATGCAGTGACATAGGCCTACTTACCTAGAAAATGCTCTCAGACCGCAGCCAAGGAGGCTGTTCACTGATCAGTGACAGTTAAAATCTGTAATTGTAAATGTTACTCTGATTGGCATAATATATCAATCAACCAGGTTTGACACTATTATGCAGCTGCACCGTTATTGTGCATGAGACGCCTGTAGTTACTGGTGGTAACAGCACATGTCTTTTGATACTACAGGGCAGAGTCTGTGGCAGCTAAACAAACTATTGTCGGGTAGTTCTTGGTATTTTCTATAATTATGTGGGTAGTCTTGATCTGACTTTATGCTGCACACAACATCTGAAAACAGTTAAAGCGAAAGGAGTTGATTACCTGGCTGAGATTGTGGAGGTGTGCAGCCTGTCGCCTGCAGCTCTTTATCTAACAGCTCACTGTGTCTGCTGCTCCTGACTGCAGCATTACTGCAATATTTCAAACTGGTCCCTGTAGACACATTTTTGATGAATGAGAGCAGTCATTGCTAATCTCAATTACAAACAGATTGCATTTCCTGTGACTACTTCAAAATAAAAGCCAACATGTGTTTCACCAGTTGAATGCTTTTAATGTGAAGCTGCAGCAGCAGGAAATTGTCAGTTCGCATTAGCATTAACTTAATTCAGAAATTTTCACAGCTCACGCTGTATCATAAAGCTGTTCTAAAGTTCTATTGCACTTGAAGCCAAAGTGGGTGTGAGTTTTTCATTGCGCTTTTTTTTACTTAGTAATGGATGTGATTAAAAATGTAGCGAAGTACGATACTTTGAACAAAACATACTTAAGTAAAAGTAAAATTACAGATTTAAAAAACTACTTTAAAGAGTATACAAAAAAGCTACTCAATTACAGTTACATTTACTTTCCACCTCTTATGAAACAACATCGGCGTGCACTCTCAATAAATTGATGCGAAGAGTCATGTGCAGTGCATGACATAAACGGCTAAATCTGGCATTGTAACTGAACACCACACGCACGCTCTCTCCCACAATGCCAGTGGTAGTACTCATGTTCATTTAATGAGCTCTAACATCCTCAGCAGAGGCGTCGAGCTTTGCCTCAGGGGAGTCCTTCATTAAGATCCCCTTACACACTCATTGTGCTCCCTAATAGAGGGCAGGGCAGCAGCTCAGTGTGTGCATGTGTTATTTTGCGAGTCCATTTGTGCCTCCAGTCAAGCTCGTTGTTCAGCTGACAGAGCTGCATTGTGAAAGGTGCACATTTGATTCAGTCGGACAGGTGGGAGTTTCTCTCTCCTAAAGACTTACTGCTTGTATCTTTGTCAACAGCCAGAGGTGGACGGGTTAATTACATTTTACCTCTTTTATTTTATCCAGAAAGCGTCACGACTCTCAGCCACAAACGGCTACATTTCCATTGTCTGAAATGGTGACATTACTTTTCAAGTTGTGTGCAGGCGTGTTGAGCTCAATATTTGTGGTGGTTACTTCAAGTCTGTATTCCTAATAGTTTAGGAGCTTGAATAAATCACCTTTTAATATAATATTTCGTTAGTAGTCACCCAACATGTAGTTAGTTAGCATTACACTACTTTAACTGTTCCTCAGTATCCGATCCGCTTGAGTAATCATTTTAAAATTTAAAAAAAACGGCACAAAACATCAAACAGCTCTTGTAGCATAATCCAAGTGTTTTGTAGCCGCACAGTAGCAGTTTAGTTTGAACGTTTTCTGATTATACCGGACAGGAGTTAGCAGGGTGCACAACTGAGCAGATTGTTGCACAACCTTCGTACTTCAGTAGTTTGACAATATGCTGACATTTTGTGTGTATGTGACATTGGAGTGTTCATCAATCAAATAAAGACATAAATATGCATGTAAACACTGAAATATATAAAGGCCATCTTAGGGAACAAATGAAAGACAAGAGTTAAAGTGGAAATGTGCCTTCTCTATAGCGCTGAACAATTAATTGAAATCTTATCATATCCTGCAAAAATCACACCATAATTGTTTAAATATCGCAAATCAAATCGTAATTGCAATATCAGTCAAAATAAACACAATTAGATATTTTTTCAAAATCGTTCAGCCCAACTTATCTATCATATCTGACACCGATTTGGGCAAATCACATTGACTTGTTTGAAACCTAAAAGCTGAATCTTTGCTAAAACTAAAAGGCAAATAAGGGGCCTTTTTATGTAATGGGTATAAAGTGAGCATTTAGAGAGCCAGCGTGCTGCGGCCTTTTGTACAATCTAAACAATCATTTTTGTTTCTGTTTTATAAACAAACTTCTAGTCAGGAATAGCAACTATTTTGTTGACAGTCTAACAGCTAGATTTTAATTTATTTACATTTAAATGTTTTCAGATCATTTAAAGCTACTCTTGAAACCTGCTGATGGCCTACTTTGCCTCAAGCATTTTCTCAGCCTTCTGAAGTTACCCAGTATGCTCAAGGGACAGTCAATTGGGTTGTGTTTTATTAGGACTTTACTGCATTAGTACATTGCATACAGTGTGGAGTGATATGACCGATGGGAGAGACGTGCATGAAAAAGGTCATCGGTCAGATCTGAACCCACTGCTTGCTTAGGACATAGCATGGATCCTCGACTCGCTGAGGTGGCAGAGAATCCCCCCTTTGCACAATCTTATAGTGTTTTGTTTACTTTGTATCCATGATCCGAGACCCACATCTATTTATACTGCAGGTTGTGTGTTTGGGGAGAGCACGGCATCAACACAACCAGGACGTCCCACTGTGAATAAGACACTGTAAATAAATGTGCCAGAGGATAATTTAGTGCTATCAGAAATCTGTATTTGTTATTTATTGATTAGATGTTCGGTTTAAATCTTTAAATGAAACCCTGAAGTTACCCATTCAGTATCTCCTTTATGATCCCTCTGCAGTTTAAAGCTGCAGCCAGAGATGTTTTTACGTTACACAGAGTCACTTTTGTTTGTGTGAAATTTCTGTCATTATTGATGAACTACTGTCCAGCCGCTGCTAAGTGTTCCGTAACCTGGATGGACCATACCAAAGTAAAGCCAGCGCCTACACTGGCAGGCTGTGTTCCCAGTATATGGGTCATCACGCTCTGACTCCCTGTTTCGGGCAACAGTTTAAACAAAATGAAGCAGTTTTATTGAATTTGTATGGAGCCCTGAAGTTAAATAACCGTAAGCCGAGTAGTTATTTCCGACTCCAGCGAGCCAGAAACGCCAGCTGGCATTTATAGCGGGGTTTCTAGTGTATTTGTGGGTATTGCTTGTTGCACCCACACCACCCCACCCCCCTATTTAATTGTCACATTTGCACTCTAGTTTCATATCATGATTTAGGAGGCTTTTTATTTTTGTAATTGTAACACGTACACTGACCACTTCTCTTTCCGCAGTGTAAATCCACCCTCGCCCCTCAGCGCGTTCCCATCATCTGTTTGGACGTGTGTGCGGATGAATGTGCATGTGTTCTCCGTATTTATTGATTGGCTTAGCTCTCATCTTTCTCTCACTCTGGTTTTAACCCCCCCCCCCCCCCCCCCAGGGCAGGACAGGTCAGGCCGCAGGCCACAGTGGTTTCTCAGCCCAGGGAGGGTTGAGATGAGAGTGGCTTAGAAGGGGATGACAGACCCTTGGCGTTGGCTCTTCTAAACAGACTTTTCAAGTTAAGAGGGAAAAGCCCCCACTTAGCTCCCCTCCTGCCTCTTGTGTGTGTTTCTTGAGTATGTCTTGCGTTTATCTTTGTCTGCACGTATGTGCTGATGTACATGTGTCTATGCGTGTCCGCGCACAAGTGCTACTGGCTGAACTCTGCCCTTTGTCGGGGGACCATTTGTTGTGGCCCTACTCTGTCCTGGTATGTGAGGGTATTAGGGGGGTGGGGGTGAGGGGGGTGATGGGTATTAAGAGGAAGGTGAAGGTTTAGGATTACACAGCCACAGATTGATGTCCCCCTCAACCCCTCTGCGTTATTTCGGGTTCTTTTGTATGTTCGCCAGAGAACAGTTGGGTGCAGAGAAGCAGATATTTGAAACAAGGCAACTTGTGCATACGGTCATAACAGGCTGAGAAATGCATTTGTCAAGCCAGGAAGACTTTTTATTGTCCACTGAACCTGGCTGGTGGATCTCTGAGCTCAAGAATTACACTTAGAGAATGGAGGAATCTTAGCATACATTCATGTATATCAGAGATCAGTTGCA